AACACACACACACACACACACACACACACACACACACACACACATGCACGCACAATGTATCATTTATTACCTATTGTGGACACCCCACCTGGGTAGTTATTTTAAGCTTTTGGTTATAATCCAGCAGTACAGGTTTTGGTTGCTCCATTCATTCCTGCTTTGGCTGTTGAGAGCTCTTTCCATTGGCTTCTGTTTCCCTCTGACATAATTCCATCTTGTGGGTTTCTTCCTTTCTTTTTTCTTGGCACACATCTTTTTGTGTGCTTGTTGACCATTTGTATTTCTTGTCTGGAGAAGCATCTGTTCAAGTCCTTTTGTATGTAAAAAATTGTGTTGTCTTCTTGTTGATGATTTGTCTGAAGAACAGACTCTAGTCAGATGTATCGTGTGCAAATATTTTCTTCCATTCTGCGGGCAGTGTTTTCACTTTCTGGATAGTACCTTTTGATTCACAAAATTGAGTAACTTTTTAAAATGGAGGAAATATAATCTATCCATTGTTACACGGGTATTGTAGCCTTCTGCCTTTGCTTTCTGTAGCTTCCCACTCCAGCGCTAAGAAACCTGGCTTCCACCATTTGCCATTTGTTGAATTCATTGCTCACTCCCCTGCAGAGCACAGATGTAGTAGTTTCAGTATTGCTAGCTACTGCCAGCACGCATCCTCCCTCAGGCCCTTCATACTACATACTGCGGAGTGTGGTGTCCATGTATGGTACAATGTGCCTTTGTTCAACAGATTTCATTCTTTTCCATAGCTAATGAGGTCAGGTACCTTTTGCCCCACTGCCAACAGTGAGGTTTTTTTTTTTCATACATTTCTAAATCAGTTAGATTTTTGGTCACATTTTCTGCTCCATCCTGTGACACCCCTATGCCCTACATAACTAAATTTGAACAGATGATGATTTACTTGTTGGTCTGTAAAACTACATGTGTTTAGACTAATGCATAGTGGCAGGTACCCACCACCAAAGTGTCATGGGGGACACGTCAGCCCCCACCCCATAACCTGCCTACCTTCTGTGCTTTATTTGTTCCAGAATGTCAGAAGTGGGGTCATAGGGCGTGTGGCCTCCTCAGACTGGATTCCTTCACTGAGCAACATGCATGTGAGATTCACCCGTGTTTTTTGCGTAGGCTGGTGGTTTATCCCTTTCCATGTCTGAATGGTATTTCATTGCATGTATATGAGAGGAAAAGTAACTTCCCCCTGCCCTCCCAGGTTCTTGTTTGACGGCCCTCCCCATTTGTAATAGAAGACATACACAGTCATACATATGCATGTAATGCAAATAGGTACAATATTTTTCTCTCCAAAATTTTAGCCTTGAGTCAGTAAAACTGAGGAATACAAAATCATCTGTGTATGTAAAATAGTAGGCTCTGAACTGTGTTTCTGGCAGATGGAACAAGAAAGACTACTTGCATAGTGAGAGTTAAAGGTTTTTACTAATATTTGGGGAGAAGACTTTTAAGATTTAGATTTGCCTTGATGTGTAATCTTATGGAGGCTGTGGACTAAATTCTTGACTAAGGAGTTTTTTGAAATAACTTGTGGCTGCCTTGGTGTGTGTTTTTTTTAAAGCCAATCTGAGTGGATAAAATATCCAGTTTGTCTACAATTATACAAATATTAGTACAATGGGATATAAGAAAGTTTGTGATAATGTTCATCAGTCCACAGATGAGTGGCCTTTGCATTTCTTCAGGGTCCTAAGACGCCCCACAGAAGGGGTTTATGGTCGGTTTACTCTTGGTCTCTCTCCTGAGGATAGAAGCTACCCTGATGAGGGGATTGATGGCTCTGG